AGAGAGCAGAGAGGATGCCAACCAGGGTAATAAAAAAAGCAAGACTCCACTTGGAGTTTCCTGGTATCCAGTACAGTGATTGGTATAATATTAACTCAGGTTCCCTGGGGATTCAGGAATGTGTGGGCATTCTATTCATAATGGGGAAGCAGATCCCTGCTGAGGCCACTGTGGTGGAAAGGCAGAGAGAGATTTTGTGGTCACGCCTTTGGGAGCCAGAGCACCCCAACCTCAAATTATGATTCCATCACTTACCAACCATGTGATATTGAGCATGTTAATTGACTTCTCACATCTTTAGTTCTTATTTCTGCAAAACAAGGATAACAATGTATGAAGGCAATAGTTATAAAGTGCACTTTACTTTTGTTATAAACTAGGATTCTCTTTTAACCCCATTGTTGTTTTTTTTCCTATTCTCTTTTTTAAAACTCGGATGCTCAGGGGACTGGGGCCACATGGGGACCAGGACACATAGGTGAGTGCCTACCCCATCCTAAGAGACTTCTTTAGCTCTAGTTTACTCTTGCTGTGGAAATGCCAGCCTGAGATTATCCAGTGTGATATTTCAAGAGAAAACAGAAACAGGCAGTTTCATGTGCAGTCTCTCATTTTAAATGTTGCAACTAATTCAAATTTTTTTTACAAACACATTATAAAGCAAATCCACAACAGGCTGCATTCAGCCTATGGCTGCTGGCTTGAGAGAAGAGGTAACCAGGAGATCTCATCCTTAATCTCTCCTTAGAAACCAGTGCAAACCACCCAAGGCATCATTGGTCCAACCAGAAGGCTGTACAGAAGCAGGAAAAAAAGACAAGATTAAGGGATTGTTCTCGTGTCTCTCAAAAGGGTCTCTTGGTTATCCCATAGATCAACAGCTTCCATGTCTCACCTGTAGCTCCCAGAACCCTGAGAAGATGACACCTACTCAGCTCCCATCTTCTTACATTAGGGCTCAGGTATGTGGCTGAAGTCTCCCCAGTGCATGAGATCCCAGGTTTAGGAAGGGTTCTAAGGTCCTGGTTCTTTCCTGGGTGGCCTTGCTGCTCCTGAGGGAATTGGCAGTAGAGATTATCCTTTATACAAAGCTCAGGGATTGTGTTTACTAAGCTTGTCAGGGGTTGATTGATTTTGACATTATCTCTTAGGCTGCCCAAGCTCAAATGAGAAACAAATCATTTTGGGAATCAGGTAGAGGAGGAAATGTCACTGAGAGAGACAGCAACAAATGAATGCAGATGGAGGTCCCTCGAGAGACACCAGCGGCAGAGGAAGTCAACACATTACCATAAGGTCGTGGCCTCCGTGGATTAAGAAGATATCAAATTCACAAAGAACATGATGACAGTTAAATCCTAGCCCAGCAGAGAGCGAATACTCTTCCAAGACTTTAGCTTCAACAATCGGAGGATTGTAAAATCATCTATGGCTAGTATTGCAAGCAGCGTGAAAGGAGAGAGAGCACATGTGTTAAAAACCTACTAGAGTCCATGCATGATGGTTATACATTCTCTAGCTAGGGAACAAGGCACAAGTTACTTAACCAGACAAGAGCTTAATTTGCATCTATAAAATATGAATGATAGTGCATAGTGCACTTATCTTGTAGGATTATTATAGAAATAAGACAAAGTATATGAAAGCCTCTTGTCCTGGGACTGGTACATATGAAGTATTTGATAAATCATTGCCACCATTGTCTTAGCATCTCACCGATTCCTCACAACAGCCCGGGGATATCATCTGCACTTTTCCATGAACACTTACATGCACAGAGGTTACTTGTCCAAATTGCTTGCCCAAATTCTTCTAGCTAGTAAGTCAGGGAGCTAGAATTCCAATTTGGGATTGCTACTGATGTGTGTTTTTTTTCTCCTACAAAGTCCCCTTTTTGGTTTAGTAATATTAGTAAGCCAATTTTCTCATTTCAACACAGAGTTATTTTTCTTAACATCTGACTAAACACTCCCAGGGCCCTTGGTTCTTGTCGATGCGAACCCTTCATCACCTCCAACAGTTTCACAATCTGATGCCTAAGGCCAGGCTCTCTGTGGTCAGTGGCCCCTCTGCCCCAGATCTTGGTTTTGGAGTACCATCCCAAGCCAAGTCACTCACACACCATGCAGCTGTCATCTAATGCAGGATGACTTCCTGGTCCGGTCTGCACCTCTACACCGGGTTCTTACTCCCCACTTTCTTGCTGCTCTTACTCCATTCCTGAACTCCAGCCCTTGTCCTCCAACTGTTTGATCCTTCATCCTGACATCCAATTTGGCCTCTCCATCTTGACACTCAGATCTCTGTTTGACATGGTTTCAACCTAGGTCTCCTATCCCTTTCCACTCTTAGGACCCACAAGTCTGCCCTGCCCATCTTTGATCGGGAGGAGACTGAACTCTCCTAGGGGAAGAAACAACTTGTATGTGGAACGTGCCACCACATAATATGTTGAGAAGGGGTCTGAGCCCTTATCCCAGCCTGGGGTGTCAGAGATGGTTTCTTTAAGAAACCCTCACTGAAAGTGGCTACTAAAGGATGACAAAAATAGTAACTGAGATTTATTGAAGAAGTATTATGTGGTAGGCACTTCTCTACTGAAGCCAGAGAACTAACACCCTTGGAAAATATACTTAATACAAAATAGGTTTGTGAGCTAGTTTGGAGTAACAGCCACAAGAAGAAAAAGACCCACAACACACTGTTAACCATCACAGAAATGACTTACACTGGGCCCTGTTTAGGCTGCGGGGGATGGGGGCAGGAGTGGGGAGATAAATAACCAAGAAAGCAGAAATCATAACAGCATACAATGAGTACGAGTCAAAAATGTACAGCTTCCAACCCTGCGCACAGTCGTTCCTGCACGATAACTTACTGGCACGCATTGTTAAGATGCTCTTCAGCACACAGAGCGAACAGCCACCCCACCATCGGCCCAAAACCAGACAAGGGGACACCAGGAAGGGAGCAGATGACCGGAAGATGAAAATTAACTGCTTACCTAATCAAGGACTAATAAGAGAGACCCATGACCCCAAACCCCTTGCTCATGATCACTCATCATTTTTGCTTTATGAAACCACTAGTCTGTAAGCCATCAAGGAGTTTGGACTTTTGAGCATTCACTTTCCTATCCTCCTGGGTGGTGCCATTCATAATAAAATAGCCAGTCTTTCTCCACTGCAGGGCCAGGATCAGTTCTTGCTGACCCATGGTGTGCGCCGGTGGGCATAGACTCTCTTTTGACTCCATTGGTTTCACTAAGTGCTTTCTATTCATTACCATTTAATCCTAAAAACTGTTTTATGAGAGGCTTATCACTGTGTTATGGCAACAAATGTGGAAACTAAAGCACAAACAGCCTAAGTAACTTGCCCAAGGTCACAAAAATCGTAAGTAGCAGAGGCAGGACTCAAACCTAGGAAGTCTGTGGACCTCAAGTTAACCAGAAAAAGAACGGCACAGAGGATGTATAAGACAGCATGGAATATGAAGAGGAAATTGGAGAGTAGTGGGTGGCGTGCCCGTGTTGTACAGTGGTTGTTCCAGAGAACTCTTCTTGCACTCGTGACCTGCTGGCTTTCTCAAAGCCAAGGGAGGCAGCGCTGCTTTTCCTGGCAAGAAGGATATGCTGATAATTAGCACATGAAGGTGTGTTGGTGGGACTTGGTGTATAAACCCCAGCTCCCTTGCACTTCAGGTAAGATAACTCTGAGGCAAATGTTACATACCTTTTCTTAGCATTTCCTTTCAGCATTAACCTCCAGACACCCACGGTGACAGCTAAATTGATAACACATCCTGTATTGGCCACGTATCTGCCACTTACCTTCCTTCCATCACTTTCCTACTCCCTTATTGGTGTTTCTTTCACTTCCCAAATATAAACTCCTTAAACTTGAATCTTTGTCCCAGGGCCTGCTTCTGGGGAAAAATAAGCTAATTCAAATTATTATCCCTAAGATATAAAGTAGGAGCCTGAAGAGGCGTAGCCGGGGGGATACAGCCCAAAGTCTGTGATATATCCACAGACGGGTGCTAGTTACAGCCCTGAAACAACATGTGTTTATGTGTTCAGAGGACATGTGTGATATCACTGCAGGAAACCCATAACAGACCATATGTTTGTTCCACCCTGATTTTGCACCTGAGACCTCGAGTGGGAAGTGACTTGCCTGTGTCACTCACCAGGTTAGTTGTAAAGCCCAGGTTGTTGTTGCTGGAGCACTGAAGATGAGAGTCCTACTCACCAAGGAACACTAAGGACTGTTCGGAATCATTTTTGCACCCACTGAACCACCTTTATCAAACTCTTTATCCATAAAGATTAGGATCTTCAGGAATTCAATTTTGAGCTCTATCTTTCTTGAAAACCAGCTTGCGGTAGCCAACTCAGTACAACTGGCCAAAGCCCACAGAGCAGGAAGCAGAGAGCTATGCCATAGTTTGCAAATCAACCTGAATGTTTGATTCATCAGCTGCTTAATCAACACAGTCAGTTCACTTCTTGAAAGCAATGGTAGAAAATAATAACACAAAGACATGCTTACATGTGCACCATGCAGCACTGTCTGTAAGGACAAATCAATAGGAACAGCCTGAGTACTCATCAACAGAGCAACACCCAATGTCATTAAATACAATAAGGTTAAAGATATCCATGCCATCTAGGTGAAAAAAGCAAGTTGGAACTGCCTATGCCCAATCCCCTTTTATTTAAAAAAAGAAAGTTTATGTGTAGATAGATATTTTGCTTTGTAAGGACAAGAAAATTCTGGAAAGATACCCACCAAACTGTCAACAGTGTGTGGTGGATGAAGTTTTGGAATAGTGACTTATCTTTGTCCTCCCAGTGTTTCTTCATTTTCTCCACTGTAAGCAGATGGTCAGGCCTTTTTGTGGTCTCTTGCCATGAGGGAGAATATTGTCGCAGGGCCAGAAGCCAAAGTGGTCTGCAAGACACTTCTGATGCTGGAACAAAATTTTATAAAAAATAAACCCATTGAGTCGACTGTGGCAGTCTCCCTTCCTAGCCATGGAAGAGCATATTCTTGTTTATTGGCAAAGCTGTCACCCTTTAATTGGTATCAGATTCTGACTTGCACAAGTAACATTCTTCACTGTAAAAAAAAATAATAAGTAAATAAATAAATAAACAAACAAACAAACCCATTGAGAAGATTACATGTCGTGTCCTGGGAGCAGGAGAGAGAGAGCAGAAGGCCTTTAAAATGGAAATGGATAAAAGTCAGTGAGTCGTGGACCACTCTCAGGAGGAAGAAGGCCTTCTATGGACTGGCCTAGGGACCTGGGAAATCTAAAGCCTCACCAAAGATTTTCCCTGCTTTAAAAGAGCCAGCAGAGAAGTCAGAACAGATTTTGTGGTCGGAGACCATGGACACCTCAGCATTGCTAATAGACTAAATCCAGTGGCTCAAAGAGACCCCTCCAGGGGTTGTTGTTACATAAAACCTGGGATCTCTGCCCACCTTCAAGGTGACCATAGTGGCTGAGGTTGAAATCCTAGTAACCTTATAGGGTGAGGAGAGTGGCTGTACACTCAGAATTGGATCTAATTTATGTAAAATAAATAAAGTACTATTTGTTGTTCATCCAAGTTTGTAAAAATAGGATTAATGTTCTGTACAAGTGACAGGGCTAGAGATTCAGAGGCGAGAGCTTCACTTGTTACATCAAGTCATTTTCAAGTAATAGGATTATGAATAGTCACGATTTTTCTCTTCTTTTTTTTTTTTTGCCACCCACCCCTAGCAGTATTTTCATAATAAAACCTGCTTTTAATGTTCATTGTTATCTCACCCTTTTAGTCTGGTGGTAACCTCTCCAGAGGGACAGAGTCAATTTATGTAAGCATTGTTTCTGACCCTGGACATGGGTCCTGTTTGTTTGTTTCAACATCACTTGAAAAAACCCACATGCACAAAGAGGAATGCTCACTCTCCTGGGTCCTGAATTTCTGGTTCTCCTGGACTTTCTCTGTTCTCTCAGAAAGAGACCCTCCTACCATCTCTTCACCCATCTCCTGACTCAAGAATTCCCCTCACTCTTTGTCAAGTTGTGGATTTACCTTCACATTTATGTATTCTCCAGATGTCCTTGATGGAACTATTTTAAAATTTCTTTGGAGGTCTTTCCTCTTAGGAAGAGGAAATGCTTCTAGAGGTGAGTAGGAAGGAGGGAGATTATGGTGATGGCTGGGGACAGCAGCAGACAGTCTGACATGAATTCTGCCATCACAGTGTGATGGAAAAGATGACTTCATTTTCTGTAAAACGCAGTAATTTCATCGAAGAACACTGCATGGAAGAAGAAGGGAGAGGATCTTTTCTCCACATCACTTCTTGGGTCCCTCCAATCCATCCACCCTTAGAACCCACAGCTCTCCAACACACAGCCTCTCAACTACCAGACGAAGCCTCTCCACTGAACCCCTAAGGGCAGAGGTCTAACTTCCAGATCCTTGTACAAGCTGGCTGCCCTTCTTGACGAACCACTTCCATGAGACTTCTGCAAGCTGAATTCTATTTATCTCTCCATGAAGCTCATTGTACTTCCTCCTGGCCGCAGCCACCTTCTCCGAAATAGATGTTACGTATACATATCTGCATTAGTCAGGGTTCTTTAGAGAAAGAGAACCGATAGGAGATTTTACATACATAAAATATATACATGTATATATTTATATGATATATACATTTATATTTTTATATAGTATACAACATATATCATATTTATATTTATATAAATGAATATATGAGAGAGATTTACTTTAAGGAATTTGCTCATGCAATTGTGGGGGCTGGGAGGTCCACAATGTGTGGGGCAAGGCTGCAGGCTATAAATTCAGGTGAGACTTGGTGTTGCAGAGGTCTTGAGTCTGAAATCCACATCCAAAGAACACCTTGCACAGCAATATCTAGAGTGGTATTTGATCAAACAACTGGACACCATAGCCTGGCCAAATTGACACACAAAATTAACCTCCACTGTTCCATTATTTTATGTGTTTGAATCATATCTCCTCAGTATGATTTTGAGCTATTGGAGAGCAGGAAACAAAATTAACATCATGAGTTATTGAAAGCCCTCATATAGTAAACAGAATCTCAAATGCTGAATTTCAGGATCTCAGTTTTGAACCTCAGAATTTCAGATACACTTCCTGTGACTGTGAACTTAACCACTCAGGGATAGAGAATGTAGGCTTCTTATTTTCTCTGCCACAGCCTTCAGGATACTAGCTCTGGAAATGGGATTTGCGTTTGGAGTATAGTTCAACAAGATGAAAGGAAGCAACTCTCAGCTAAGCCCTAAATTAACAACTGTGATAAAAGGTCAGTGGGGTAGATTGTGGAAACTTGTGATTTAAATGAAATTTATAATCATCTCTGTATTTCTTTAAGTCCTTCTAGCCATGACAGACAGCACGCAGAGCCAGGTGGTGAACAGGTCAACAGTAGTTCAAGTATTAATTTGGTTTCTTTCCTTCCCTCATTACCCCCAACCTCTCAACACACACACACACACACACACACACACACACACACACACACACACACATGCTCATACATTGATCTGACTAAATGTCAGAATTAACTCAAGGTTGACCAACTAATTTGAAGTTCAGTGTGAGGTCTTACTTAATCTTATAATCAATCTTCAAGGGAGCTACTTGGGTTCTGAGTCAGAGAAAAGGACACCAAAAGAGGAAGCAGAGGACACACTGACCTGCCTCGCAGCTTCATTTCTGCTCATCTCCAGAGTTAACCACAGTCAGTAGCTGAACTTAAGAAAGGGTCCCTAGTGCGGTTGACAGTGACCATGGACTCAACCCCACTTATAGAATGTCTCTGGGGTGGTAGGATTGAAATGTTGCCTGGTTTTTCTTGTTCTTTCCCTGAAACCTGTCATTTCCCGTTTAGTATTTACTATTAGTACTTCAATATAGTCTTTTAATATTTACTATTACAAGTAGTACCTCATCTGCTTGTATCATGTTCCCAGAAACATATTTAGAATTTTAGGCTCTCCCAACTACTATACATCTTGCCAAATGTTGGTCATTGACTGAGTTGTGTTTAAACATCTGTTGACTGCAGATGTTAAACAGTGTGAAGTATTCTTTTAAGATGCCAAAATGCAATTCAAATAATAATATTTTTCTTAGTAACACATCATGCTACATCAAAGGAAAAATTCAGGAAGGTAAAATGCAATGAACAATGAGTGGTAATAATTCTCTAGAAATCATCTGTGGCTCGAGGCAAGGGAGAATTAACCTTTCACTAAATTATGTTAAATTACCAGTGTCAATTGGCCCAACCCTTGAAGACAGCTATGTTTTGGGGGTTTTTTTTCCAAACCAGGCAATGGTCAGGTGTAGTAAAATGCAAGGAAGGGCATCTTTTTGGCTCAAAGAATAAGAGTAATTAGGTTACTAAACTTTTCTTACTTCTGTCTGGGCCACTGAACCAGAAGACGTCAGTGTTTAAAACACTGAAATGCCAACTCTCCTCTTGAATGTCAATGTGGGGGTGTTAGATTTATACCTGGGCTCAGCATTCAGGAGGTGTGTGGAACACAGCCTGGACATGCTACGCCCTGGGTGATGAGCTCCATCCCAAACAATGGAGGAAACAAATCTGCAATATGAGCAGAGAGGAGTCTTTTGTGCTCCCTACAACCTGAAGCTGCCATGTTTTGGTTGCTGGTCGGGGAAGTAGGAGCAATACTGCAGTTTCCAGAGGGAGGAGAGAGCTATCCTGTAGTGTGAATTAAGCAGTGTCAAGAGGCCTCACAGTTCAAAATAGCCCTCTCTCTCTCCTGTCTGAAATTCTGCTGCCTGAGCTTTTCTTTAAGTTTAAAATCTTGAAAGCTCCATAATGTTCCCGAGTAGAACAATAAAGCCATTAGGAGTCCATGTCTCTCTTTAATTTTATTTTTCCATTTCAACTTCAGGTCTAATTTTATCTGCTTCCTAAAAATATGCTTCATATTTTCACAACGATTGGGCCTACATAGGTCATTGGTCCAAACATCTTAATTTGTTGACTAAGTTAGCCCAAAAATCAGTCAAAATTCTTTTTTGGAAAATAGTGAATTTGTCAAATTGGGCGATCCACTATTTCTTAAATTCATCACTGCTGGATTGAGCTTCTGTTATGTGCCAAGCTCTACACTAGGTCCTGGGGTAACAGAGGTGAAGATCCATAATCTTTGTTCTTGGTACCCTATCAGTCTGATGGGGACACAGACACACAACCAGACCATCATTATGCAGTGTAGTAAGAGAGGGGGAAGGTAAGAACAGTGTGCTTTCAGAGCCACAACCAACCTCATCCTGTGTACTGATGACTATATCCTTAAAGTCACAAATATATTGAAAAAATATAATGAGGAGGTGCTAAATGAGTAGAGAGTGTTTATAAAAAGCCCTACTAAGTTTCTGGTTTGGGGCAAGTGAATGCATTGAGGACAGATATTGAAGAATAAGGGAATAGAAATTGGAAAGAAAGAAAACATTTTCTCAGCCATCAAAGAGTTTGTAATTTAATTGCAGGATATAAGATGCAAGTGTAGGAAATTATGCAAAATCAAGACCTACAAATGTGTACAGTGTAAGGCATTGAGGTGTGTGGGCAAACCGTAAGATATGGGTGATGAGAAAGGGAAAAGAGTTAAAGTAGAAGAGTCTCAGAAAGGACCTTCGGGAGGGAAGGAGTTTGAGGTAGATGTGGAAGGACATCCAGTCTACGTTGGTAAAAGTGAAGGGTCCAAGCTCTCCATGCAGTGGGGGTAGCAGGGTCAGGTGTCCAGAGCAGGCAACGGCAGAGATATTTTTGTTGTTATTATGGGTGTTACAGGGGTGGTGTTAGGGGCTCATGAAACAAGGGGCCAGATAAGGGTGTGAAGTTCAGCAGGGTCTTTTACTCACCCATTATTGAGGGCCGTGCACTGGGCTGAATAATATAAATATAAGAATTAACAAATTCCTTTCATCTTGAATCATACAATTTGGTCCTAAAAAGAGACCAAAGAAATTTCTCAGAGCCTTAGTGTGTTGGTGCCTATGCCCTTTTCATTTCTTCTTTGAAA